AATTTTCTTTCAAAATAATGTTTTTGTGCAAAAATGCAACGCTTTCTAAAAGAATAATCTGTTCTTTCAAATGAAACTTAAATGAAGGTAAGCTTATATAACTGAACTTCAAATATAGCAGGTATTGCGAAATCCTATTCACTGGTGATCCACTCGATTACGCTGGTTACCGAAACGGTTCGTTTTGGTAACAAAATGTCGGAACATCGAAGGTAAGTTTTTTTTCCTTATTTCACACGTTGTAGGCAGAATTCCCTTGACATTTTAACACAAACGTGTATCAGTATCATATGTTTAAGAAAATATACATATTTACGAATAAATAGTTCAGAAGACAACAGAATCCTTGATTTAATTCCTCACTTAAGTTACATAAACGGTTTTTCGAAAAACAGTTAAGATCTGTACTTTTAACTCAAACCGTTTATATAACTTAAGTGAGGAATTAAATCGACGATTCTGTTGTTTTCTGAGCTATTTTTTCGCAAACATGTATATTTTCTAAAACATATAATGCTGATACACGTTTTTGAGAAAAACGTCGTTGGGATTCTGCCTACAACGCGTGAAATAAGGAAAAAGAAAAATCGTACCTTCGACGTTCCGACATTTTGTTACCAAAACGAACCGTTTCGGTAACCAGCGTAATCGAGCGGATCACCAGTGCTATTGAAGCCAATGCAACACGAAATTGAATAATCAACAATATCAAGTTCAACTTTTTTTGTCTTTCGCCTTCATATTTCAAGTGGTACAACAAATACGAATCAGTATTTAATTTAAAAAAATAGGTAGATGCTTGGCTTGATATTATTTCAATATAATTTTAATTTATGATTTTGCCTAGCAACAACCTGGCAATGGCATAAACATCAAATTAGTGAAATTGAAAGGGGACAATAAAAAGATTATATCTAAAATTTCGAAGAAGGCATCATCATAATTCTGAACACGTTTCGCGATTAACTGTCGTGTTTTACATTTAAAAAAAAGCATAATATAGTCAATAGCGGCTCGATTTTCATGAAATAAAGGATATTGGAAATAGAATTCAATCTGCTAAATGATTTTCTATCAAACAGAGCAATCATCATCTTTTTAAATGTTCTAGAGTATTAGAAATAAATTAAGAATCAATATTTTATGGATTTCAGTTCTATTGGCACCAAGTTTCAACTCTCATTATTTGCCTCTCTACTCTCAATCACCTTGATTTTTACGCCAAAAGGTGTCTCATATTTGTGGCTCAAGCTAAAAAAATAACGAAGGTACGAAAAAAGCTGAGGGTTCGGATTGCCCCCCCCCCCCTTCTGCAGACATTAGGGTCAATTGGTTTAGTAAGTAAAATATCCAGATTTCCAAAGACTCATCCTTCTTCAAAGGACTTCATTTACATGTATGCTTAAATTCAAAAATACGATACCCTTACTGATGCAAATACTACTCTTTTGCCGTTTCTATACGTCTGTTATTTGAGCAAATGAGGTTTTTAACATTTATCAGCCTAGAAAACATATAAAAAGTATACGAGTATGATAAATACACGTCATACACAGGGTGACCCAAAAATCAGAACCCTCCAAAAATGTAATAATTTCTTAAATACATAATGTAATCATCTTCAATTTTCACGTCCAGAAACTACAATTATGGCCTTGGATGTAAGAACATTTTGAAAAGTTCGTGTCAACCAAAGGGTTGCCCATCCTTTGTTTAAATAATCCATCACATTCATTTTGCTTCTGCATTTTGTGAGTATAGAGGTTGAGATCATTGATGAGGAAGTGTCCAAGCAACCCTTACGCCATCTTTAGGTATGGCTGCACCTTCTGGGTGATATTTTGGAACTTAGCATTCAATGCAATCACAAACAATGCTTTCTGGTGTTTTCACACCCAATTGTAAGAAACCCCCTGGATAGATGAGTTGGTCTTTTTCCATCCAGGTGTTTAACATATCTCTTTTCTACATCTTCCAACTCAATATTAAATATTTGACTTTGATATCACAGTGCTTTTAACTAATCATTCTGCTGTCTTAATGATTTCCAATGGAATTTCAGCGTTTGAGGTGTTCTCGCTCAGAGGCCAGGAATTTCAGTCATTTGATTTTTTAGATATTTTGCAAATACCCGTTCTTCATTTATCAATTAAAATATTAATTGATTTCATGCATTCTTTGGAATTTCCTTCTGAATTTCTTAAAAAATCTCAAATATGATTTTTATTCCATAATAACATGTTTTCCCCGGGAAAATAACGGAATATAATTGATATACAAAATATCCCGTATCAGATCCCGTGTCACCTAAAATCCCGTATCAAATCCCATATCAGAAATAATCCCGGTAATTTCTAATTTCTAATAATGTTGTATGATAGATTTTATCATTTTATGTTACAATCATTGGGTGATGACATACAAAAATTAAAAATAAATACGTTTTAGAAAATTATTACAGAATAAATAGGTTATTGATGGTCGTGATGGAAAATGATTTTTTTTCTTGAGAAAATATGATATTAGCCTCGGAAAATATCATATTGACACTCGGGCTATCGCCCCCGGTCAATATGATATTTCCTTGGCCAATTTCATATTTTCCCCCGGGAATAAAATTCATATTCCATCCCTCCCATTAAGCAACCTCTATGTCTCACGTTGATTTTCCGAAATTGGACACTACCAAGAATATCCATGATATCACAAATAATCAATATTGTGTAATAAATTTAAAATCCTTTTATAATCTATTGATTCTAGTTTATGCACATAAAAATGGGTTAATACGTTAAGTATTTGAGAAATAATGATACTTTTAGAGGGTTCTGTTTTTGGGGTCACCTTGTATGTAAACATACATACGTAACATAATAATTTGGTTTCGAATTATAGACCGTAGGTTAACAGAAAGATGGCGTTTGAGGCCTGTGCGTGAGACTGTACGTACGACGGCATAATTTTCAAGACGACAACCGCCATCTCTCTGCCGAAAGTTAAGATTGAGCCTTAGATTTCGTTTTTGGCAAAGTGAGAGTCGGTTTACGGTTTAGGTTATTGGCCCATCCTAGTCACCGGTTATCCTTTCGGCACTTCTAAATCTTATTACGTCGCATTGTTTATTACAATCGACGCATGGGCTTTCAACTAATTGAAAGTCCATGGATAAAGCATCGAATAATTTTGTCATCGTCGTTGGTAAAAACATCCATCGTTTTATGAGCCGTGGTAGAGTTTCTTAGATATACAAACCGATTTACAGTGGCTAACATAGAAAATTAAGAGGTTGCGTAACGCTACACGATTTCCAAGTAACGTGAACACGAATGTGTAGGATCATGTACCCCAGGGATTACTGTGCCCTCTCAATTGCTGTTTCCGGCAGATGCCTGATAATTACTATTTTCTTCAATCGGACAAATAATTAAATACTACAAAGTAGACGCGACTCAGAACTATTAAATCCCTAGATGACCACATCTTGGATTTTCAAGGTATGATGTTAATCGGACAATCGGACAAATAATTAAACACTACAAAGTAGACTCAGAACCATTAAATCCCTAGATGACCAGATCTTTTATTTTCAAGGTATGATGTTAATCAAACTGGGAAACGAGTATGAGATGGCCATGCATAACCAAATCTTCCAATTGCCACATGTGACACAATCTTAAATAATTTCACAATACTGAAATATACAGTTCAGAACAAACGTAATAAAACAAACTAGAGAAACCAGCCTATTCTTGATCATTTTTATTTCGCATGTTTTTCATATAATTTAACGATCAAAAACAAATATTGAATAAAATAGAAGCTGTAACATTTTTAAATTATACTGACATATACTCGTGTCGCTCTTCGAATCACCAAGTTTTAAACATCCACCTGCAACAAATCGTATGTCATTGTATAAGAGAAGTTCAATTATAGACATTTGTACTTAACTAAGTTACAAAATGATCTTCATTTTGTTTAGAGAGTTCAGTTACATAGAAACAATTTAAAACAATCAAAAACTAGTTCATATGTTACCAGATAGAGTCTGAATAATAATTGATTGGTATTGCTGACCGGAAATATCCTAAGCAGTCGTCAAACAACTATCATTTGACAAGCAAGCGCAAGCGAGACATCTATTGGGTGTTGTCGATAGGAAAAGTGTCCCAAAGCGTGTTTACATTGTCAGTTTGTCAAGTGGGATATGTTTGAATATGCGAACTAGTTCGGAAATGACAACGGCAATAGTGTATTAAGATATTCGTATTCGAAATCAACAACATCATCTGATATGTATCAAATTGATGGTACACATAGCTTTGGGACTTCTGAATGCTTCAAAGAAGATCTACTCTATTTTTAATTCCAGATCAAGGAGGATTGGCTCCCAGGGACGCAAGTCAATATTTCCCAACAAGGAAAATGTCAGAATTTCGTTATTTTCTGAAATTACAACTGACTATAAATTCAAAATCAACAGTCTAAAAGATTTCAGCCAATATCTCGATCACTTCTTGTGTGTTTTGGAATTTTTGTATGGAAATAAGACCACATTCTGAAGTGGACAAGATGGCGGCTGTATTTATTCGGATTTTGTAAATTGTATAATTGTATTGTATAGTACAATAAGTAAGATGTCAGGGAGAATGAAACACTTGCCAGTCACGTGATACTTGTGACACAATTGCTTCGAATATCCCCACTTCCGGCTGCCACAGCAATCAAAAATGTAAATGCGAAAAGATTACACTGCCTGATCATAATCAATGTTACTTTTTAATGTTTTTTACCAGCATATATAATGTCAAAAATTTGATTCGAGAATGTGCTTAATGAAAACGGTAACAACAACGTACAGTGCCTGAGTGCACAGTTTAACATTTTAGCCTTGTATTTTAATAATCCTTCGACCGCGGGGCTCCAATAAAGGAGCGAGTTCTGTAGCCCTGAGTTCGGAGAATAACTTTCATAGTTCAATGTTGATATGATTCTCCGCCGGAAAATAGTATTCACTTCGGGATAGTTGTTCATTTCAAACTCGGTGTCTACCAGGTAACGCCATCTTTTAATTCTATGGTTAATATCACTGCATTATTTAACTGGCATTGGCAGTATCATTGATGGAAATGCTGATCACAATTCATTTAAGTTCATCGGTCCTATCGCAATATGATATACATATAGGTCGTTTTATGGTGATACACCAAGATATATAGTGGCCCATTCTGCTTATTGGTATGTCGAAATGTATGATCATTAGACGTGCGTTGCCTTGGTATTGAATGCAAGAACATTTTGATCTTATAGGAAACTGCGGGTAACAACTTCTGTTAATGTCATTTGGATCCAGAACACAGAATGACGTTTTTTATCCAGCATACACTTCTATGTATCAAATGTATAAATATTTCACTTGTAATAGAATGATATAACAAAATTCGTAAATCCGATGTTTTAGTGAAAAATGTTCCCATTAATCAAAGATTAGTTTATTCCAGTCGAGGCACCCTAATGCAAACAGAATGTAACCAGTGCGACTTTTCCTATTGGTAATTTATTTCTCTGACCTTCATGTATCTTTCCAAACCTAATATATTGAATTCAATCCACTCCAAGTATATTCATCAGGTTTGGTCCGGTCTGTCTAACAACCCGATCTTTTGTCCCAGCCAGCGGAACTTTTGTCGCACCTCATCCTGCATCAAATCAAAGCACATGGCGATTAGGGCGAGCCCGAAAACGAGGTATAAACAACAAAATATCAGGCGCTGTTGTGCGTCCCAAGAATCAACCCGCGTTCCAGGCACAAAGTCCCCAAAGCCTATAGTGGTGAGAGTGATAAAACAAAAATAGGATCCAATGAGATAATCCCAATCGTCTTCCCACATTGTAAAGAGGGCAGCTCCTAGGAATATATAACCGACGATAAGCATGAAACTCAAGGTCAGTGGCACGCGCACCTTTTCTGACCCCTTCGACTGCAAATGGTTTTTCAATATGCGGTGTTTGTAATCATGGGTTCTCGTTTGGTTACAATTTGAAATACTAGGTTCGAAATCTTCTATTGATACTTGCATTGTCACTTTTTTCTTTTTCTTTCCTGTCTTTTTGTTGATGGAGGAATAATCTTGTTTTATACTATCCTGTTGTTTTTTATCCGTCTTTTCACCCATTTCCATACCATTGGTATCATAACTAACCGTCGTTGTCACACCCTTGGGCCGTCTCATAGTCTTCGTCTGTAACCAACGACAAAATGGCGAACATATCCTATCTAGGCAAATGTTCTTGTAGAGAAAACGAAACGCATTAGCGAGAAAGCTGCCTATGTTTGCAAGGAAGAGAAAATTGAGTGGAATCCCGACTAGGGCGTAGAACATGGTACAGACTCTTCCCCATCCGGTCTTGGGAGCAATATGTCCATAACCTGCAAGAACAATAAACAAAGCTTAATGTTACGTAAGCTCTAAAACAGACTGTCAGTTAACCCATTTTAAAACAAAAAATAGAAACGTATTAGGCCTTTATTTTAGAAAACAAAGTTGAGCTAAAAAGGTAGGAGCCAGGGAAAAATTGAAAAGCCGAAAGAGTTATGACAGTTAAATGCACACAAATACCACAAAAGTAAATACTTCAGTCAACATATTGAGAGACATCACTGGAGAGCATAAGATTATAGAGATATAATTTGGAATAAGTATAGCTGTCAAAACTGAGAGGTAGACTAAACAAATCAATCAGGGAACTGAATTGGCGCGTATAGTGTGTATTGCATTATACAATACTGATATTCTAAGAACCCATGTTGTAAGTGATGGTTCCTAAAACAATTTCCACAACTTATGACATGCTTAATCGAAGAGATCTTGCAGTAATAGAATTTGTTTTTGAAAACTAAGTTGTTGACATTAGGTTACTCGATAAAGTATATAAATTTCCATAACTATTCTAATTTAGTTTTTTGAATTACTCACAACAATGCCGTGAAAATATTGTAAACTATCTGAAATTGTAAAGAAAGTGGTATTACATCGGACAGGGTACCGTTGTACGTTTTAATTTCAATGCTAGTGAACGAATATGCAATTACTTTTTATCAATCTTTGAAACACTAGGATTTATTTAATCTGAGATATACTTCAAGCCTTGAACTTTATAAAATATCAATCTTGGAATACCGACCCGCGTCTCGGCAAACAGGTCGTGCTATTTTCGAAAACTTAAAGCATACTAACATTTGGTTTGATAGACCGATGGAAAGGTGGGAAGGAGGCCTAATAAGCTCTTGGAATTTCAGCATTAGCGGCGTACCGAGGTGTGGGTCGGATTTATCGAAGATTGATTTACTTTGAAGAGTGGTAGACACATTTAGCACGCGGTATTGCACAGTCGAATCCCTACAGGGTGTAAGCACTTAGGAAATCATTTTTCAAAAGTGCCGGGTGACGAGGTGTTTCTCCTTTGTATTGCTACTGCACAAATATAAGTCATATTCTCTACTTTCTAAGGAACTTACAAGAAAGCTGGCCGCGAACACTTCAAAACTCAAAAACGGATAGATTTTGATGTTACAATAATGTACTTTACATACTGAAATAAATTAAAAATGAAGCCTATGTAGAGATATTTGTGCAATTTCTATATTGCATCTTGCTCATTCACTGAGAACGTTTTAAATTTTATATCTATCCTTTTTGTGGTATGATTCAAACATTGTGTGCAAGAACGTTGTTAATTATGACACGTGGAAGTTCAAAAACATCCCATTTTGATATCACCATGGCAACATCATTTGGATTCACATATTGCCGTCCGTAGCTAGAAGGAAGACGCGATCATTATCTGAATTATTTGATACGAATTCAATATAAAATATCGAATTGAGCTTCTGTGAAGTTTTCTATTAAATATTTTGATTACTAATTGTGTTGAAACAGGATACATTTGTTTTGTCATAGAATGCATTGATTTTGGAGTGTATTCTAGTAATTACTTTCCTATTCTGAGTTATACATGAAAGTTCTGATAACGGTATGCAATAATGACAAATGCATCATTTATGATTTAACCAAATCAGCGCAAAGGTGTGAACGCATTTTAAATGGGTACCCAGTCACACCAAACAACGTTCTTGAAAAGTGTTGCTGAACGGTCTTAATCTGTATGCGTATATATGGATTGGATGAAGCTGGGAATTTTCCCCATCTTTTTTTAACGAAGTCCATGGAAGTGCTCTGAAATATGTACGGGATTTGACTAAAATAAGCTCCCAGACAAAATAAGGGTCAAGGCCACTCCAAATATATTTTATATATACACAGGGAAATCTGCTGATTACTCAATCAGTACTAAATTAGCACTCTAGCAAAGGTGCACCCATGACCACTCATGTCACGAGTGCTAATTTAGTACTAATTCATGATTTGAGTACTCATTTAGTGCTGAAAAACAATTTTATTAGTACTATTTTATCACTCATGATATGAGTACTCATTTAGCGCTAAAAACTCAATGAAATTACTGCTATTTTGTCACTCATCATATACTCATTTAGTAGTAAAACATGCAATAAATCAGTACTCATGTCATACGTGCTCATTTAATAAAATGCCATGAGTACTATTTTAGTACTCGGCATATCTCCCTGTGTACCAGATCCAAGACATGAATCCCCATCCTTATTCGTATCCCCGGTATCCCTACACACCTTAATCAACATTCCTTGATATTGTTCATCAGTTTCATTTTTTGTTGAGATATGTGCCGATATATTCTGCGTTTGGAAATGGTACGTTATTAGATGACCTAATGAGGCCAGAGCCTAGTTCGCCACGCATAACGTTATGACCTTGAGCATAAATCCCAGGAGATGAAATAATCTTATAGAGGTCCCCTGGACGGTACTTATACTATAGTAACGCATGCTCTAGGAAACTGAACGCGAATCCTATAGAAATCATTAGGTCACCCAGAAAAGGGGGATTTGAAAGTCGAATATAATATACAACCATAGCTTCGTTTGTTTACGTTTGTAAAATGGATAACACGTTGATAATTCAAGATAACTTTTTGAAATATATTTTACAAGATAAATAACATCTCAGTTAGCCTAAAGTACACGTCGTGCGGGTCACTGTACCTTTGAAACTCACAACTCAATCAGATCAGCTTTGCTTCCTTTACACGAGGTATTGAGGAATGAAACTAGTTTCGTATAGTTTATTCTACTATCTTCCGTAAAACTAAAAAATTCTAGTCGAACAGATGAAGTTCGAATTCTTTACTCCATCCCCATGCCAAAGGCAATACTTATTGGACTAACCTTCCCCACACCCGCCCATTAGAACAGAACTACGACAAACCAAAATGACCATAAGATAAAATCTTGAAACATGCAATATACCTGATATATACATTTTCTGAACACATTTTTGACCTACTTCAAAGCGTCGGGACTTTATATGATGAATATGATTTACTCTATAATAATCAGAGGACTGCAAAAATGTAATTATTGAACTTATTTTTTTTATTAAGATAAATTTATTGAACTTATCTGATTCAAAAACTACATTATCATCGCTTTAAGTTGAGCTCAGGCCAGCAAACCATTACGCACATAATTAAACTACTTTTTATATGACGAAAATAAGTATTTTGTATTGTTTCCCTCAGACTTCACTGGAATCATTTGCAATTAAGTGTTGAAGTGGTTCCTATCCGAGATGTTCTCATAAGGTACAGCATGTATCTCCGCGGACTGTGCTCCTCTTATTCTTGTGAACCTGATACGGGCATACTAATTGCCACATTGATTGTCTTTATGAATCGTTAAACCCGGGCGTGATTTTGTGAAAAGATAGAATTCAATTAAAACATCCTGGAAGAGTTGCTATTAACGATAGGGATGGATCATCTGTCGAAAGAGGAGATTAACTGTTATCCCAAACCATAAACTTTATTGAACTAGACTAAACTTTTCTTCCCATATCATCAAAATCCAATATGCCTTTTCTAATTTTTCTCTAAACCCAAGAATTCAAGAACTACCCACTAGCTACGATCTATAGTCTATCTTTATTCTATTTTGGTCCATTTCAGGAAATCCCCCTTTAATTTGATTAATGGTACAGCTTTAATCAGAGCCTGCGTTACAACACTATTCTAATTGTAAAAATACGTTAACTAACGAATATTTGAAAGTACGTTGATTTATATCCCATTGGATAAAAACCAAGTTCGATAAACGTCTCATACGCTGAAATAGCAAGACAAAGCAAATATACTGAATTGTTGCAGTTATTGGTTGCAATTCTTGACTCTCTTTTTGGGGGCGGTTGTAACTTCAAATGTCTTCTTTAGATTGACTATATAAAATGTTATAATTAATTATGTAGCAATTCTTAAAAAAACATATAGCTGTATTGTCATCCGTAGAGTTTTTTTGTTTTTTATGATATTTAACTTACATAATCAATTAACTTTCAAGGCAGACACATGCTCTTCTAAAAAAGTTGTTCCTGGTTAGTATATAAAAAAATCAATTTAATTTGGAACTTGATAACATATTATATAGGTAGCAGATCTTCTTTATGAACGGTTAGAAAGTAGTAATGCACGATTGGTTAGCTATGCTGACGTGTATGTGTGGATCTTGAATAAAACTATTCGTATAACAAAAAATGTAACGAAGAAAATGAAAATGATGACAGTCATGATAAAAGTTTGTTTTTTTACGATACAAGTAAAAACCACCAACGAGCAAAGCGATAAAGAGCATCGTGTTTTTAATAACCCTCTCCAGTTTGATACATTCTGTACATGGCGCAATTGGTAACGTTTTTCTCCATTCTACAGCAAATGTCTCGGTCTCAGCGGAATCTAATGTTGATGTCTACTACAATCTTGAGTTGAAACGAAATCGAATTTCAGTATTCCACATGTCAATATTCGAAAATATTCATTTCCATAATAACTCACTAGAGTTCTTAATTGCTGGAAAATTGACATCTTTGCATAAAATGATATCCTTTTCATTAGCTCTGAAGATGACGGTATACACACCAGATACTCTGCGAAATTGCCAGATAGCAAATTAATACCAGAATAGAAGATTAAAGTGACGCAAAGCACCCGTAACTGACGACAAGTTATTAAAAGTTAACAAACCTAGATTTGATATCGATTATTTTGCGCTAAATGAAGGTACGGGACTTTTGGATTCCGGTCAAGGGTCATTTGGATTTGTGAATGACTACTAATATGAGAGAATCAATAGTTCAAACTTTATAGCAATCGATGACTTGTTCTACCAAGTACATTGCTACACTTTATCTTCAGATCGCCGTTCCGGTTGGTTGGGTTCACATCGTATTTAGCATAAGAATATTTATGTGTTTCCCCCACAATGTCATAATTCCATATTCA